AGTTACTGTACTGAACAGTATATTCTGTAGCAACAACTTTATTTTATTTTTTATTAGGTATTCGTAGGTAAAAAAAAGTGTTTTCAATTATTTAATATTTTACTTTAAAGTACCTACCCCTCTAAACATTTTTTTAATTTCGAAATTCTTTAAATTTTCAGCTTTGTAAACTAATTGTGCACTACAAGATTTGCGATTTCGCGATGGGCCGTATAGATTTCGTTGTGTCGTGTCTTGTGACACTTAATTTGTCATAGTGAAAGTGAGCTGATACCATGGTGGGTGGGTCGGCCATGTTTCCGTCCATGACCCGGAGGGGTCTCTCTGCCCACCGTCGATCGGTGGTATCCCGAGCCCTCAGCAGCAGCCTCGTCTCGTTTTTTGTCCGTTCTGTTTTGAGTTATAATAACAGGTTTGTGCTCCCCGAATGTTTAGGAAACCTATCAGGGCACCGTCCAATGGGAGTCGGCCCCGCTTAATATCTTTAATAATCTCCGTTTCGAAGGCAGCGTATAAATTAACTTTACGGCTGGAAATTTAATGCGATACATAATGAGATTTGGGAAATTTTAAATTCCACCGTAACAATGTCCGTGGCAATTATACGGTCCGTGCTGATGGGCTACCCAGGGCTACCACCCGACCCGAACACATGTCACTGGCTACGAAAAACGGACGTTTTACTGCCTGAATGGAGACGGTAACTGACAAGCACAATAATCAAAATACAACAAATATTTAATTCATACTTACTTGTATATGTTCCTGGCAAACACTAAATTTGCAATTTTTTTATTCGTGGTAGCTGCAAGATGTAGTTGTTGCAATTTTGTGGGGGAGCAAATGGTTGTTTTGTTTTAAAATTGGGTCTCGTCGGTGGTCGTAAATAGGGGATGTGGGGCCCATTGGCGCACCGGGGCGCTCCTCCCGGCAATAAGGTAGTTAGTTATATAGTTGAGCTCGCGAGTACTTACCGTGTAACTAATTAAAACTAGTAAAAGAGGTGAGGCGCGGGAAAGGAGAGCGTTCTGTTGAATTTATGTGGCAATTAGCACCCGACTTGTAATTTATACAAGCTATAACCCCCTGCAGAGTTCGCTCTGCAACGTCTCAGGCTCCCACCCCGGTGTACGAATCGAAATTGAATCGTTATAATTACCTGGATACCTTCCACCCCGGTACGAGATCAACTCACCAACTCGGAACGAATTGCTTCCTCAAGACGAATCTACCAACAAGCGCCGGCTCAAACCAACAAGAAAAACGCCGCCAAGTTTCCTTAATTATCATTTTCACAGATACTATCGTACAATAAATTTTAATAATAGGAATTGCTTATCGCACACAGAACTTTGCAAGAGATGCGCTCAAGAACTCAGGAAAATCACTTTGGATGGTATTTTAAATACGCACAAAAGGCTTTAGCAAATTTGATGAGTCTTCGCCTTCTTGGTTTACACAAAAGAGTTTGTTAATTTCAGATTATTTTATTATTACGGAATAGGTATATCGTTGAAAAGAAGTTCAAAATTCCCGTCAAACGCTGATGTTGTTTGTTTAAAAAAAAACTTGAATTTATTTTTAACTATTTGTGGTCCTTTCACAACACAGTCACATCACCTTAAAAAAACACAATAAAACATTAACCATTGTCAATACCTACACTTTAGCCGTTTACAAAATAATGAAAAGTTTTTATTTATTTCTATAATTTTTATTATATTTACATTTTATGGTACAGTTGCGGAATTAAAATTTCGGGTAGCATTTTTCTGTTACTTCAAAAAGTTCACTGTAAACTACCTTTTAGTGTCATCATGACTGACATTTGACAATTAAACTTTTCTGTCGGTGACGGTATTTTTGAAAGTAAATAGGTAAGTAAAAATAACATAAACATGACAAGAGTAAAAAATGATGTTATTAATGTAAAGGTTGTTTTAGAGTTTACATTATGAAAATGACAATACTGCCCGAAATGTTAATTCCGCAACTTTTACTTTATATTTTATTTTGATTAACTTTTGTTTACTTATATCCATTTCACTAGTACGCTTATGTTACATGTTTTAAAGCTCTGGTGCTCTTATCTTATTAGTAATAATGAAAATTAATAAATATTCTTTTATTTTTATTACAAAACTTACCTTTTCTTTATAGGTATTTTTTAACTTACCTCTTGTTCACTTATTCACTATTAACTTATTACACTATTATCTCTTTTGTAGATAGGTACATGTTTTACGCCCGTCATCTTATGGTTTTTATTTAGATAGTTTTTTTTTCTTCCTGCATATATCAGTTCTATAGTAAGTGTGCACAAAAATTCGCGCTCTTATGCGCCCGCCATCTTTTATTGGTAATTTGAATTAGTATTTGAATTTGAAGTTGTGAAAAATTGTTGACTTCTTATGCCGCTATACCACCGCGCCGCCAACAGTTTAAATGTTTTAATTTAATATATGTATTTATCACACAATTTTAAAATTTATTTCTTGCATTTTGTACTTTTCTAAGTCTCTTGAACCTCCAAAAGTGCAAATAGTTTAGTTTAGTTTTGAAGTTTTTCATTTTTAACATTTTTGTCAAAATTTTGGGCCTTTATCGGTTCCCGGAACGATTTACTGCTAATAACTTCTGAACTATTCAGTTGTTTGGTACTGTTGGAAGGCAAATTTAATTTTTTATTGTATAAAGAAAAAATATTTGTCCCACGTTAAATAGTTATCGAGAAAATTGCTGATAAAGTCAAAAATATCCGAAATGTTAATTCAAGAATTTTGCAGTTATCTCGACGCCAATAGGTTTCTCGGAACACTATATTTATGTATGCCATAAAAACATTGTAACGTAATTTTTAAAATTTTCTTAACACTTGCTACAAAGGAAAGTTTTTATAATTAAAACTTGGTACAGGTGGCAAATATTTTTTTGGAAAGGTAAAAACATAAAAAAGTTACTCAATGTACTTACTTTGCACTCTACTTGCTATCTTATCCCATATTTATAAGAGTTGACATTTTACTTTTCATTTTTATCAATAAAATGTTTAAAATGGCAAACAATAATATTGTCTAGACGAAAATCATTTAGTTTACCATTTTAAAGCAACAGTTTATTTAAACTTAATAACAAAAATAAATCTATATATTTTTTGTAAAACAAAATTCCACATAAGCTAAAGACAAATTATTATTTTTTTTTATTATAAAAAATCTTGAAAACAAAATTAGAATGCTGTTTACCAAACAAAAGCATTTTAACAGAAGAGCAAATAATAGGAAAAATTCGTCCGTGCTAAAATCACACGTGACTATTCATTATCTGATTTCTAATCTTTGTAGGTATAGTTGTTATGGCAGACCCATCATTAATTAGACATTAGCTTAACGGAAATTGGATCAGTTTTAAAAACTCTACTAAGCAAAAACAGCAAAATTTGAAGTCCTAATAGAGGAAGTTATTAAAATTTAATGTTCTACACTATATCTAATATAAAGAATGTTTGTTCCATTTATAGTTCATTTCTGATTTTGGGCAAAGAAATAATTGTAATATAATTATGGTATTGGGTCTTGGATCTAAAAAATTCCTAATAATCGCGTTGAGATTGAGATTCGTATTGTTAGATGCCTCATTTGCTGGTGTCGGGAGTTTGATTTGAATTCGATTCTAGAGTGTGTTTATTTAATAGTTGCTCAAACACATTTGTATTTTACAATAGATTTCTTGTTGTCCGGTAATGACAGCCTAGAAAATACTATCTATTCAACATCTGGTAGTCGAGAACCAAAAACTTCTAAGAATTAGTTAGAGCCAAACCGAGTGGCTTTCATACTCTGGGAACGGATGGTGAAGAATGGCATGTCCGTGATTCACCCCGAGACGAAATAAATGGCATATTTGAAGTCTGACCGGCATTGCTAGAAATACCCGCCGCCAAGGCATAGCACTAGCACTCGAACAAATTTCCATGTTAATGAGTGTCGGACGGTGTTGGAGCACCAGGCACACTAATTACTGCATAAATATGCGTCGCATCGATTGTATAAAGTTTAAATTTTAATTTAGTCGGCTCGCTTTGTGTTCGACTGAAATATGCCTCTCTACTGAGAGCTAGTTATACTGAATATTGTTGAGCAGCGCATTAAGGCCCGTATGTCTCGGTCTGTATCTTAGTGCATCCGACCAAGTAAAGCCGCCAAATGAGCAACACCAAACCCATCGACGTGCCCCATCTGGCCGCCTCTTCCCATTACTGCGTTATTGTATTCTCTGCCAATAAATAATATTCTTTATATGACGCGGGATGTGGAGTTCTGAGGAATGCTCGGGCTATATACCTCCGTTTTAAATCTACATTTTCGGCTTTCAATTATTCGAGGGATTTGGGATTTCTAATTAAGTCCATCTGTTTCTTAATTGTGACGTGGCTTGTCGGTTTTATTTTTTTACGTTCTTCTTTCGAAATAATTCATCTTCGGGTCGGTCTAATGGACTTGCGGTCGTAAATGAGATCGTGGTTTAGCACAGGTCTTGAGGTTATTCCAAGCATTTTTTCAGCCATCGCAGAGAATTCCAAATGTGGTGAACTCCTGCTGGGCACATTCTCTAAACGACGCCTCCAATTTTTATTATTGGTGCTTAAAAATTCCGAAACGTCTTGGAATATTTTTACTTTGAATCATAAACAGTCAGGCAGGCTATAACTCACAGAAATACCGAACATCATTGACCACTTTGTAACAAATAAAATTAAAAAAAAAACACAAAATGTGTTTCCCATTCTAATTAATTCAATGTTAGCAACTACTACTTATTTTTTTATTCTAAACACCTTACATGTTATAAACGTGCATATTTAAGATATTTTTAAATTACCGCTAATTACTGTTGTATAGAATTCCGCAAGCGGCAGCACCATCCAATAGCTTCTCTAGTGTCTCTACAATTAAAGGAATCTGTAATCTTGACTGTTCAACTCTTAAAATCATAAAGTGAAAATCCCTACTTTTATAGGTTATGTTTAATTATAATTTGATGGTTATTTTCCAAACAAGATGTGGAAGTCTTTAATGAAACTTGCAACTCCCTTGGCAAAAAACGACAATGCTTTGTTATCAGGGGAACACCTCTTACATCAGCAATTAAGAGTAATTTCAGTGTTTGGTTTTTGCCTCACTTAACCCCCCTTTTTAGACAACTTTTATCGTAAAACGCCGTATAGAGCCCTTCCTAGCTAAACAAGGAGAGCCTTTGAAGAAACTGAAAACCAGACATTACCTTTATGATCTTGTTAAGGATACTAGCAATGAAAAAAAGCCGGATTTGGAGCTTATTTTAACTTCTTATGTAGAAGGTTTGGGAAATGTGGGTGATAAAGTATCAGTTCGGGCAAATTATGCTTATAATGAGCTTTTATTACCTGGTCGGGCTGTTTATGCAACGCCCGAAAATGAAGAAAAATTTAAAAATACAGAGATAAGAAATGTGAGACATTTCAGTTCCCCACAAGCTCTTGTTGTAAGTATACATTTTTCCACTACACAAATTTCAGTTGTAATTTTAGATGATGAAAATTTTATCCAAAATTTGTTTGTCTATCGTTATGAATAAAGATTCACCTTGGACTCTTCAACCCTGGCATATTAGAACTTCATTTAGAAAATGCGGTTATGTGGTACCTGAATATGCGATAACAATGCCTAAGCAGGAAATTAAAGGCCCTGATTTGAACCTTGAAGGGAAAGAATTTTATATAATTGTTACGGTAATGAAATTTCAAAATGATAAACAACAATCAATATTTTTCCTATTGCAGATAAACAAAACGGAAACAGTTAAAGTCAGATGTAGAATCCACCACTGGAGTACTGATATAACCAATCGATTACCATATGATGAAGAGGGATTTTGGAAAAAGCCAGCAGAATTATTATTTCCTGATGATGAATTAGCGAAAGTAGAAACGACAAAAATTGATTAACTTTATTTAGAATAAAATTACAATTTCTTGTTTTTGTCAGAAACTGTGTATTTGTCGTATGTCTTTGTTGGGTCGTAAGGTTCCCACCTGCTAGCAGGAAAGATATGTTTGTTTCTTTCATACCAACTTCTCAGCAGAACTTTACCGGCGTGTGACTCTTCCTTTTCAACGGAAGCGTCACTTACCAATCTGACATCATCATGGACATCAAACTGGAAAAGAGGGCCACTTTTGCCTCGTGCCTATAATAGTCATTGTTAAACAATTCTTAATAAAACACTTAAACCAACTACTTTTGTTACAATGAAGTCATAGAAGGTGTAGTGATGAGGTAGAATTAAGTCTTCTTTCACATACATGAGCTGATCAGCCATTACAGTTTTCAATTCAGAAAATTCACGCCGCAGTAATTCTAAGACCTTTTGCAAGAATTGGTAAATTGAGTTACCCTTCTTCACTCTGACTGTTCTTCTGTGCCCTGAGCCATCCCAATAACTGAACGTGATGTCAATTTCTTCCTCTTTGAGTTTTTGTTGCTGCTCAGCCCACTTTTGTCTCAATTCTTCCCTCAATCTGTTTTCTTCTTCTTCGCGTTCTCTGTCTGGAAGGAAGCTTGTGTCGACATTTGGATCCTTTTTGATTTTCTTCGTAATTGTGGGAACATCCTCAGCTTCTCTCTTCCATGCTTTTTCAACTTCCTCGCTTTCACCATCACATTCTTCCTCGTCCAAGTTGAATGAAAGTGCTTGAATCTAAAACAGTAACTGCCCCACTTTATTTTTGGTCTGTTCGCAAATATCCCGACGTACCTGTTTCTTCTGTTTATTTTTTTCAGCTAGTTTCGCTTCAAGTTGTCTTTGTTTCTCGCGTTCTTTCTCGGCTTGTTTCTGGGCTAGTTTTTTCTCGCGTTCTTTTACAATGTTCTCCTGCTTTGCTTTCATCTCATCCAGGGTGACTAAACCTATCGTTGAGCTCTAAAAGCATGTTTTAGCAACAGTTTATTGAAAATTTTCTAGTACCTTTAGTTGTTGTTCCACGGCATCGTAATGAGTTGCAAATTTATTTTCGATGTTATTTAACTTCAAATCCTCTTCTATTCGTTTCTTGCGAAGCTCCAAATCTTGCATTTCCTTTTCGCGTTTTTTCATTAATTGCATGGCTCTTCCAGCCTCGCTGGCTGCCCCCTTGTAGTGTGCCATTTTGTAGGACTATTAAAGAACTGATTACGCAAAAATATGAGATACGCAGTTATATTATTCTCCAAATTATACAATTTCTCTAAAAACGCGTAAACGCTTCTAAAAAAACACTAACCTTTGCAGAGAACTGTGCTAAATACAACAATTCCCCTACTGTGCATGAAGCCTTCGACTTAGAAAGTTAAATTTACAGTAGACCAGTTTAATAAATAGCGTGCATTAAAAAAGTTCTTATGCAATCAGCAATACACTGAAATATTATGTGTTACATATTTAACTAAAACAAATAAATCGAATTGAATGGAAAAACAGAACAATTTTGGTCCTGTTTAAAAATAAAAAATACAGTTATTCATTACGCAACACAAGTGTTTGTAAAAGTACTATAATATTAAATATTAAACGAGTTAGAATGTTTCGTACAGTGCCAGACAATAAATGTGGTCCACCATTGTCGAATAAATTCTATTCATTCAACTCTTTGAATCGATACGTACCACTTATTTAATATCACAAGTTTTTAATCAATCTCAGAACTTTATAAGGCCTCACATGATGAAGTTATGATTTCCCATCGATGATAATTGATAACTCTTTACGATATTATGTTTTCAAAAATTTATTTACTTATCCAAATTCTTTAAAAAATATATATTATATATTTTATTGTTTAATCAATTTTAAAAACTTTAATGACTTTATTTGTTTCCGCCTAAAATTTCATAAATAGGCAACCAATTTAACTTTTCGTACGAGAATGTGTTTTTTTTATAATAAACGAATAGACAGCCGCTGATTATGTCAGTAAATTTTGTCAATATTTATAGCAAAATTATTTCGAGTTGTAATTAATTCGTGACAATCATAAAAGTGAACTATGTACAGTTGCGGAATTAAAATTTCGGGCAGTATTGTCATTTTCATAATGTAAACTCTAAAACAACCTTTCCATTAATAACCCCATTTTTTACTCTTATAATGTTTATGTCATTTTGACTTATTTACTCAAAAATAATAATGGGTAGGCAGCAGATCAAAGCGATGATTTAATTACACTTAGTTCACTGAAAGAAAAGTTTAATTGTCAAATGTCGATCCTGATGATAGTAAAAGGTAGTTTACAGTGAACTTTTTGAAGTGACAAAAAAACAGCCCGAAATTTTAATTCCGCAACTGTACAACAACTCTGAAAAAACGGATGTGATATTAATTTTAGAAGAGTGCCGCGGAAATTATATTGCCGCAGTTCGCTTGTATGCCATAACATACCCAAGAAAAAAAATTCCATGTTTTCCGAAAAGTTGTGAGCAATTTACGGGAAACTGGACAATTTAAAAAAGTTAAAGTGAGAAGACGTACAATATTTTTTTTTTATTTCTTACTGATGTTTCCATTATTATACATTTGAGTTTTGAATTTAATTTCTTGTTGAAGTTTTCAATAGTTAAGTCAAGAACTGACTATGATTATTCAATTTAAAACAGTTAATATTTTTCACAAAGTAGTTTATGAAATGTATAATATGTTGCCTATATTTGCTCCTTCAGGCGGGAACAAATAAAATGGGCATCTTGTAGTTTAGCCTTTTTCCTACAATTAGGGATCATAAAATTAACCTAACGTATATTTGGTTGCCAACACCGTTAAAATTTTGATGCACTCCACTTTTCATTTTTTTTTATCCTACACCATTTTTCAAGAATAATGAATGAATCTGCCAACGATTCAAAAAATAAAACGGACCAAAACCGGATAACATAATTAATGATAAAACTATTTTTAATTGTACTGTCAGCGCATCTGAAAAAGATAAAACCTACCACTACATATCCGGTGTAGTACGTTTAGAATTAGTCCGTGTTCTAAATAAAAGAATGTAAAGTATTCATGAAATAGGGAAATCAAAAGAAGATTACTTTTACACGAGGTAACGTAGGAGTGGGAAGCTACAATGATAGGAGCTTCCTCTAAACCACTTCCGCTTATCCTCTGTCCCAACTCTTTCCATGAAAAAAATTTCGCAATATTTTTTCTTCATAAAATAGACATATTATAAAAGCTTGGTTGACGTCTCTTTCTAGAATTCGTATTTCATATCATTTATACAATTTTTTGTCCGGAAAATTCAGCAGATCACAAAACTAAGTATGAAAAATCTATTTTTAGACCAATTTTTCCCTTAAGCCGCCTTGGCCCGTCTGTTTGTTTACCCCCATAATCTCCTTTTTGTTATAAAAACACTCCTCACCAGAAGGTGCTAATAGCTGAAGCTTGTCAAAAGTTCTCGAAGCTTTGAACTTGATGATGTTTGTTGATAAGAGATGATCTTTTTGGTCGGCGTGAGAGTGAAGAAGAAATTTGAAGATGCCGACTCTGAAGGGCTCCTTCGTAGTTGCTTTGAACAGAGGGTATAAATAGAGGTTCCAGTACTAGACGGTCCATTCCATCGTGTTGTACTGCGAAAGCGGTACCTCGAGACGCGTTTCGGTCTCCTCGGCGATCATCTCGCGCCACTTGTGTGTGTTTCAAGTGCAAGATCAAGCTTTCGGAACATTGTCACCAAAAAATAAAGGATGCGTTTGCTTCAGAGGCGGCACATTTTGTGAGTACTTTTCGCAAACACACTTTTTAATTAAATAATTTTAACAATTTTTTTAATATAAAAATAATTTAAAATTAACTGTTATTAAATTAAAAAAAATAGTCAATTTGTAAATATTTTGTATTGAATTTTAAATAATTTTAATTACCTATAAGTATTTATGGGTGTATTAAAGAAAAAAACATATGAGCAAAATTGATGATTCATTTTTCTTTAATTAATTAATTATATACCTACTGAAATAAAAAAATCAGTGGTGAAGCATCTAATTATAATTTCGGCTATAATTAATTACTGGCATGCTATGGGTTCTATAATGTGATAATTACAATGCCAATGATTGTTTGGATTAAAACGTTAAATACAGTATAAACAAACAAGTTTTAAATGCCTATTCGGCATAAATCGCAAAAAAACGAAATCTATAAATAGAAATAACTAATACCTTCTAACTACTTTTTATTTTTTTGACTTAGGACATAGACTTAAATTAAAATTTAAGATGTAGTCAGATGAGTAAAAATCTTTTTTTTTTTCTCTTGATGCATGCCAGTCACACGCATGTTCAAGTTCTTTGAACATGGCAATAAAATAAAAATAAAAATGTAAATGAACAAAACTATTCATCGGAATTTATGTGACTAAAATACCCTTTAAGAAAAATAATAATCAATAGAAATGTCTCGAAAGCTCTTTCATTATTTTCAGGTGGCCAAAGTCTTGTTCCAAAAATATTTCAAATCTAATCAAATATGAAATATGAACTAAGTGTTTATAATTGCTTGACGTGAAGGTCTTAACAGTGTTTAATATTGTTTAACCATTTATTTTACTTTGTTGCATAAACCTTTGATCTGCACTAATAGGAAATTGCTAATAGTTATCTGTTTTATATCACGGACTCGTCCTACACTAAGTATAAAAGTCCACTTATTTTTAAAATTTCGCAATTCAAATAAATGATAAAAAGTGAGAATTGAAAATTAAAGAACTCATTGAAATGAGGATACGGACTGACCTCACTATTCTAATTCTTCAAAATTGACTAATTAACAGTGCAGTAAATGTCACTAAAAGTCAATATTGACGAAAGTGAAGGATGAAGCAATTTCAGATCATTTATGTTTGTCTAGGAAAAGGAAGTCACAAAAATAACTTTGTTGTCTTGCTTAGTAAACTTGACGTTATCCTTGTAAGAAAAAGAAAATAAAAATTCCCTAATTTCTTTGTAAAAACAAGACTTTTATTTAATTACATAAAACAACACTGATGCAACTGCTTCTAAGACTTAACACTTTTGTTTATTTATTTCATTATTGATAATTAGATCATTTCAAATAATTTGGTGTTCTAGTTTATTTACAGTATTAGTCAATCTGAATATAAATAAACGAAAAGTTTTAAGTACACTTTTCGAATGTAACTTTAATTTTCTTTACGTTATACACACAGAGGAAAATAACACATCGCTACTTATTATTAAAGACAGGATATATTTAAGTCATCAAGTTTTTTGGTAGTACTTTCTTACTAGAAATTATTGTCTATTATGCTAATTATAATAATTTGAATAAAATTCACCCGTTAGTCTATTTCATCCGAAATTCTTATATTTATTTTTATGTTAAATTTTCAAAACCTGATCATCAAAATTTCAACATCTTAAATTATCTGAACACGCACACTGTCTATTTATTTTAGTCTTTGGGCAAGTTAATTTTTTTTAATTTTTGCGCCACTGTGGCAATCAATGTCTATTTATTTTACATTTACCTAGGATGTAATTATACACATAACAACATAATGGCTTATGTGTGTAATAATAATAATAGTAAAATTACACAATGGTGGCTAGGTGTTAACTGAGATTAAATTTATAAACGACTTTGATCATTTTATTTGCAACAAGTTTTTACAATGTAAATTACTTCCTCAGGATAGAACCGGCGAATAATTGCATAAGATAAATGTGCTAATTACAAATTTGATATTCAAAGCCATTAAGCTCGACCTGATTAAAAATGGGTTGTTAAAAATTATTGACAAATATTGATCTAGCCAAGGACATCTATTTTTGCATCAATGCAATCAAAATTTCAAATGTTCCAAAATGGTGCGTTTGCAAATCTTGTATGCATGATGATTGATGGCCGTCGTGATTTGGTTACCATTTTGTGTTGCCAAAATACTCATCAGTGGTTCAACAAACTTCTAATGGTGAAGTTTTGCGACCATTTGAGGCGATTCGCTAAGAACGTGTCTTTCCTGCAACTGAACTGTGTCCGAATTCATCCAGACAGGCCCTACCATGGCCTTGGATGTCTGCACTACCACCACGTTCCTGCAAAAAATCAAGTAACACGACACCATCCGGTGGGGTTCCTCGAACTAGGCGATTTCAATGGGGTTAAGATCTCATTAAAAGGCTCCATTGTGCGGTCTTAATTAATTTCTTTGCGGAATTTTTTCGGTAATGGGTTAATTATTTGCAAACGGCATGGCGAGTTTTTGCCAACAATAAAACCTAATGGAGGAATTATTGCAATTACCATTTGCTACAGCGGTTATTTCAAAGCTGGTCTGAGGATCGCAGCGTTTAATTGCTAATAAAAGTTTTAGTGCATTTCTTGTCTAAATTTTTGGAACGAAACGTATGTTGATTTTGTTCCATGTATGGTTACCTTGAAGTTGTCGATTCTGTTGGCTTAAAATATTGACACACCTTCGATTTGCAAGAACAAATAGCGTAATAAATATCTCTTATCAAGATCAAGGTCTAGATATCCCACACAGAATTTAGCATCAGTGGAGCAATGCACCTGTACGCAACGGTAGCGACCTTTAATGTTTACGTAAAGCAAACAATTAAATAATGCAATGGCAACGGTAAACCGGCCTTATACCTGCCTTAGAGGAGGCTCGTGCCTCTTCGGTGCTAAATAATTCTTGTGTGTCTTGGGATTAGAACCTTCAAGGGACATCAAAGTGACAGGAGGGATGGTTAAAAGGGTTCAAAGGTGTGGCGTTGAGATATAAAAGAGTCATTAACGAATCCTCCAGCCGCGTTGTAAAATTCATTTAAAACATGCCATTGTCTACGCATTACTATCAGGTGATTTGATATGACAGGATAATAATTTATTGTAGTGGATGTGAAGTGAAATTGCTTCGTTGGAGAGGTAGACAGCGCGGCTCTGAGCCGTCCTGCGAGTCGATAAAATGCATGACGATGACACTTGCAGTGTTTACCAGCCGAATGCTAATAACCTCGACATTATTACGTTCCTAGTTGGACACCAAACCTAACAGTAAAACTTATCACTAAAAGAAAATTTCGTAATATATTCCCGTTCTCACAATAATCTTCTCCTTGAAAAAAGCGAAAGCAAGAAAAAATAAAACTTAAGCCAACTCAAACTCAAATAAATTTTACAGTAAAAAACAAAATAAAAAAAAACTAATTTCCAACAAGAATTCCTCGACAGCGATTTCAGGCTTTTATAAAATGTTTCAGGAATTTTCAATTTAGCGATTTTTACAAAACGAGATTTTAACTTGCAAAATTACTTATTTTCTTCCGGATTTGTAAATAATTTCCAAAATAAAAATAAATAAATTGTCTTATAGAAATATTAAACAACAATGCAACTGAGAAAAGTTACGAAGTTGCAGTTACATAAAGTTATTTTTATTATTCTGGTCTCCTGATAATTTATGTTAAGTTTAATAGTTTATAATTTATGAGTGGATTTATTACCGATACAGCGCATTTAAATTAAATTATCCAAATGTAAAACAGTGACCAGTCTCACCGGTCAGTCCTTTTGAGCAATAAATCATTATAATAATTCTAAACGATATGCTTAAGCTCATTCAACAAAAAAAATATTAAATCGTCCAAAAATTATACGAACATGACCAAGATTTATGTATTTTTTTCCCTTTAAGACGTATGTATGGTGTTCAGTAATGATTTATTTCAACATTATTGAAAATAAAGAACGTATAAGTATTGTCCGTCTCAATTTTATTAAAGAAACAATCTAAATCTACAATCTTCAAAATTCACATTGTCAAAAGCAGTTAAATTACTTTGTACATTTTTAGAAATAAAGTAATTCTTCTTTCTTTTCAGTTTTTTCAAATTAATTTCTTTTATTTTGTACTCAATGTTACTAATTTCAGTAGATAAAGTAGTCTTTTATCGTCTAGTAAAATAAAATTTTCATCTACTGTTTATATTCAAGAAATTCTGGTAGATGAATACAAAATAAAACGGAATATTATATACGACGATCTACTCGTGGAAAAAGTCCACTCGTGACTTCGTCACTCGTAAACTTAACCTTTTCACTCGTAGATAAACAATTATCGTCTTGTATAATAAATAACTAATTTTTCACCAGACTAGTTAAATTAATTTTTTTAAATATCCAATTAAGACAATTGATGCTATAAACATGTATAAAAAGAAATTAATGTAAAGAAAGGTGACCAACTTCAAAATTCAAAATCAAGACCTTAATAAAAATAATTATAATAAATTTATTTTAGAACAAAAAAAAATAGGTCTTACTAATGTATCTGTATAAAAATTTAAATATAATAAGAATATAAGATGCAAAATATTGACATAAAGAACAATTTTTGAACCCTAATCTAATAATAATTGACATATTAATTTATTGTTTTGTGTTAATTTCAATTTTTTTTTGATATGAATTGTTTTGAGAGTTCTTTCATCAAAAATATTTTTAAGTAGGTGTTTCTACTTTTAGTTGAGTTTTTTTCACAAACGAAACGATGACAAAAGACAAAAAGAAAACTTTAACTTGAAAAACACTTTGTTTTCGCTGCAAATAAAAATCTCAAAAAACTGGACACTTAAATCGGGACAAGACAATAAAGATCTAAACATGTCCTGGCTAAATCAGGACGGTTAGTCACCCTAATGTAAAGGATTTAAAAAAACTAATAGTTGATTTTTTCTATGATTTAGG